TAGTATCAATCTTTTTTTCAGCGGACTTCTAAGCGGACAGAGATCGACAAGCATTCAGGACTGAATGAATAATGATATCAGTAAAAAAAAAAACTATACGCGGCGAGGGGGTTCTTCGGGTTATCGATCGTCACGGAGTACGTCGCAAGGCCGCAACTATCGGCCATTAATTTAATTGTGGAATCGCAACGGCAGGATGTGTGCTCCGAATGCAATGGCGATTGTTTCGGTGTGGCGCGATCGCCGGTCCGCATCCGATGGAGGAATCCAGCGATGCGGGGGGGCCCCGTTGCGCACGCTTCGGAATCCTGCGTCGTGCGAACGGGCCGTAGGACCCAAGATCCAGACCTGGAGGAAAAGAGATCGCCGAAGGATGCCGTGCTCCCGAATGCCGCTCCGCTTCAAGGGGGATTTAAAACTTGGGAGGAAAATATTCGGAAAGAAATTGCTAACATTTCGCGATGTTACATACGAGTTATCTTGATATAATTAAGTAATATCAATAATATTTTATCGATGTGTATAGATTGTCCGATAATTGACGCATATTAAGATTATTTCAAGATTTATCTTCAAGATAAAACTATAATTTATTATTTTTATTATGTTTAGAATACCAGTTTTGCGCATTGATATTTCTTCCCGTAGTGTCCTTTATTAATCTTGATGTAACGTTATAGTAGTTTTTCAGAAGGTGTAAAGGTAAGATCCTTTGTATCTTTAAATACCGATATTTCCCTTTTGTAAATTTTGGAACGCATGCCATCATCTTCCCTCCTCTGGGCCAGGCACCCAGATACAACCCTTTTCGTTATTTCCGTCCCTTTATTCCTCGCTGCGGTATTTCTCGGACTTCTCTTGATCGCATGTCGAACTTTTTGACGCGACCGCTTATGCGAAGTTCGGTGCACGGCAGTGATATCCATTCATTTCGCCGGTATTTTGATGCTTGGGGCAGAGAGCGAAGGCGATGAGCAGAGAGCCGAAGAGGAATCCGATAATCTCTTTAGCAGGGTGTCACGTAGGTGCTGCAGTTACGCGGCAAGTTTTTTCGTTTATCATGTACGAATCGGGAAGGTCTTCTTCCTTCCAGCCGGACCGTGGGATCAAACAGGATTTCACAGACGAGGCGTAGTAACCGAATACACGCCGATCCCGAAGCCTCGAAGCCTCTCGTGGAGAGGTTGGTGCGCGTTTCAGGTTCGAGAGAGACGTAATTTTCCAAGCACGATTTATCGAAGGAATACCCATTTTGCCTCGACGTAACGTTTCGTCATGCACTTCGCGTTTGCGAACTAAACCGAGTGTTGCTAATCGCGTTGCTCATATTTTTGAACGACACTCGCTCTCGATATCCCGCTGGATCCGCGATATCCCGCACTATTTTATTAAACCAAGCAAATTTCTTTCTGTATTCAAAAAAGAAAATCTATCTGATCTTTGCATTACAGCTACTTGTTGTTGTATTACTTCGGTCGTACTCCAATTCGGAACTGATACGGACAAGAAAAATATATACGGCAGGATATTCGCAGGAGGATTTTTGCTTCTGGCTCTAGTTTTTAGCGTGATAAGCCAACGCTGCCGTCAGCGCAAATGGTCTCTTACGATCTCGATGGTATCATAGCGGTTTTTGCCTCCTTCTCGTCAGTCTCGCACGACAAATGTCGGTCTTCATACTCACTTTCAGAGGCGCAAGAACTATATTCGCTATGCAAGCGGGTGATTGTCACTTGGAAGTATCGAGTCGTGAAAGCGCTTTATCGCGACGTGCTACCTTCGTCACACACACACACACACACACACACGCGCGCGCGCGCGCGCGCACAGGTAAGCCCGAGCTCGCGTATCTCGTGTTACGACCGTACGGACTTGGTTTGTAGTATCATAGTGATGTCCAGTAATCGTAAGTCGACGATAGTGCATACGCAACGACGGGAGGGAAAAAATGGGTCGCGCGCGTATACAATTACGGCCACAGATACGGCCGGCCGGCCTTTAAAAATGACGCCGGCAATTTAAAAGCCCGTAAAGTCTAATTCATTCAGCGGCGCAATCGGACAGGTATTTATAGAGCCGGTTCTCCATACGCTTTTCAGGTGTAAGAATAATAATAGTAGCCGTTTAAGTGCCAGCCCTAAGTTCCTCTCAAGTTCTTCGAGGAAGCTTCACAATTTTCATAAATCACGTGTTCCTTTTTATCTTTCTGTTTGATTAGCGCGAAGTAAATATCGTTTTTAAGTTTCCATGGAGCTCGTTGCCATTCTTATCGATTAAATATTATCCGTAATGAGCGGTTAATTAAATTAATTGAAATTATTTAATGTTACAATATAAATAATGAAGAGTTTGCTCGTGGAAGAATATTCTTATGCGTTGTACGATCCGTTTCTATCTGTTCACACTGTGAGCTGCGTAGAGACGACAATTCTTCGAAAGCCTTGAATATATTTACTTATGGGCCAGGTCACTGTCTCAATATTCCCGCCATTCAACTGGAAATTCTCAACCTGTGGGAATCCTCAGGTAGGTCTGAAGAAGAAGCTGGCTTAAGTATAACGTTCCTCTAAGATTTCGTTAAGAATACACGGATTTTTGAGCGGCGCCGACAATACCACCTAAAGTGCTCGCTGATCTCAAAAGACGGATAAATGAACCTGAAATTTCGACAGGTTTTCCAGAAGAAATTTAGCGCAACAATTGTGCATCCAGCAATAGTGATGCGAAGGAATATCAATAACATCGCTCGCGGAATTTCTTTCTTTTTGGCAGATTGATCGATGATGAAAGGAAACGTTGCTGTTCTCAGAAAAAGAAAGAGTTATGTCGCGAAGACTTCAGATACGTGTAAAATATGGAGATTTTGTCGTACTCGCGCGTGAAAACGAGCGAACGCTGATAAAGGAGGCGAAAACAACAAAGGAAGTGGGTGGAAGAGAGAAGCAGAAAGACGGTCACCGCGAAATAACGATGATCTCCGATGTCACACAGAGGGCCGCCGGCGTCCCTTCACGAGGACGAGGAGGAAGAGAGCTTTGGCCAGCTCGTGTTTCGCTTTTCGGCATTCCGAGAAATATTTTCATGTGCCCTCTGCGCGCGAGATCTCCCTTACACTTCCCCTGAGCTCCCTCTTTCCTGTTTCTCTTTCTACGTCGTTTTTCTCCCTCTTGTTCCCTCCCGCGCTCATCCAGCTCTGTTCGGCATAGATTCGATGGGCCGTGTTCTCTCGGGGGTGGATACGATGCACTATCCATGGGACGCCGAAGGAATAACCCCGAAGGTATCCAATGACCAAGAATCCCCGATGCGGTAGGTTCGACCGGATGAGAAATATACTGTTCGTGCTTGTGCCGACCATGGATTACGAGTGCTTTTAAAGCGATACTTTTGGCCGTGTTGTTGGATTTCGTTGTTGGATATCGTCGTAAAATCGCGTTAGAAAGAGAGAAACGAATTTTAAAAGGAGGAAACAATTCTAAGCGATTCTAGTGAGAAAATGAGAACGAAAATCGAGAATTTATAGCGAAAAAAAGCTTGTTAATTAAATATAATATTTAAAATAATTTTTTCGGCAAGAATTTTATAAAAATTTTCTCTACTTTTATATACTTTATTAGAGTTCAGCGAACTTGAATCTTTATCTTTGACATTCTTTTGTTAAATTTGTTGAATTTGTAGAACTTTTTAGTGCAAAAAATAAATTGAAAAAGAATGATGCAAAAATCAGTTCAGTAATTTTCATTATTCAATAATTTTCTCAAATAAATACAATATATTTTTCTCTTTTACATAGTTGTATATACATTTCTCTTTTTAAGAATTTAGAAGCTAATTGGGAATTAGAATCGTGAGTAAAATGTATGATTGATCAATCACAAATTCTGAGGTTTGCTTCTGAATAACAAAATCAAATATACTATTGAAGAGAGACTATTGTGCATTCGTATGAGTACTCTTCTAATTTCAAGGCTGAGCGCGATTTCCCGAGGTACCATATCTCGAAGCACAAAGCTCGAGTTCTACGATTCTGAGCACGATTGACTGACCTAAATCGACCTGTTCAAAAGACCTCGCACCTGACTGAATAACCCTCATCCATAAAAACTTATGTATGCGACGACGAATTGAATTCTATTTCGCGAAATGCTTTTATATGAAAACTATTCCGTTCGGTCAGACGCTTATGTTTATCTATTTTAGAAAATGGAAAAGGCAAGAGAGAACTGAACATTCCTGAGTTTCTCTAAACTGAGTTTTGTGAATTGAGTTCCTTGAAGTGCCGACTATATCTAAAACGAATAGATTTTCTCTTTTTACACTTTCTAATTGCACAATAATTTCATTAAAAAAATATTTCTTACTTTATAATTTTTTTCTTCAAATTTTTCGGTTTCTGGCTAATATTTATGGACAATCAGTGACTTTCATTCTTGATTACACAAAGTGAATAAAAAAAAAAATTCTTTCTTATTTCATTCCATCTTGCGCAAATTACCGCATTTTTTCATAAAACTATTTCTTTCTTTCCAGTCTCATTTCATTTGTATGAAATGATTGTATGTTTAATTATAAAACAATTTACAATAAAAAGTAAAATGCAAAGTTTGTAGTAAGTAAATAGAAAATATATAAAAAAATAATTTGTTAGTTTTCTCAATTATTTCAACAACTCCAACAACTTAAACATATTTTACATAAAATGATAAAACTTTCCATATATCATTATTTTTACAGTTACATCTGTATTTATATTTGTATTTATACAAGACTATCGAATTCTCAGAAGTATATAAACTTCAATTCTAGACAGAATTTAAATAGACAGACTATACATATTACACGAGATGGATCAGCCTCTCCTACAAGATTTAATCATTCACATGGATATTATGAAATATGATAAAATTGCTATTATAAAACTAATTTAATTATATTGTATATAAATATAATTTATAATAAATTAAATATTTCAACGAAAATTTGCAAAATGAAGAGTAAAAAGCTTACAAATATCTTTATATCAAATTGAATATATTCCTAAAATTGTTTCCTTAACCAAATTTCTTATTTTAATAATTTTAACATATATATTTAACATAAAATCATTTTATAAAACTTTGCATGTGTTATTGTTAAAGTTTCAAGACTTACCTGTGTTTAGATGACCGAGGTCATTGAACCCTCATGAAGTACATTGACTTCAGATGTGGACAGCAGCCAAGGGAGCAAGATATGAATTTTACACAATGTGTTATCCTAAAAAATTTGAGAGAATAATTATTCCCAATGAATAATTGTTAAGTCTATAAGTTTCTATAATGTTAATGTAAGCAATTGATTATATAAAAATATTGTAGAATAGATTAATATTTATAATTAGAATATATTTATTAGAATATATTTATATATAATTAGAATATATTTTAATTTAATTTTCTAAGACATACAATATTAATTATGTTTCTTTTTATTCCTATATTGTAAAGAAAAAAGTACTTTATTTAACTCTTCTTCTTTCCTTCTAGATGTATTAAAATTGTTTCAAATACATTTTACAAAACATTTTTATAATATTTATTAATAAAGTTATTGACAAAGATAATAAAAATATTTAAATAATATTTATATAATATTGATAAATCTATGAATCACACAATAAAGAAAATCAAATAAAAATAAAAAAAAGGATTTAGAGAATATGTCACGTGCGCGCAAAGTATGCGTTCATTAGTATTTTAATATAATATTAATTTTTTATATTTAGGCTATATTCTCCAAAATGTTGATTTTAAAGAAAATTTTACTCAATGATTGTTCCAAAATCTTATGAGCATTTCCAATTAGTTTTTAATGAAACATATATTTATAAAAATATATTTATTAAAAAAGTTTATTTAAATTTTTTTATTAACTCACAAATTTTATTTCTGTTCGCACAACGTATTCTCTTATATACAGCAGGAACACTTCCATGACCAATCCTGCTGCAACAAAAAAGTTAAACACATAAGTTAAACACATTAAAAATTATATCGCAAATCCATGCATAATTTTGTCTTTGCATTCACCATTATGAAAATACATTTTTATATTGTTAATAATCTTCAATGATGCACCAACATCATTTTAACAATTTCTTTATGTATGTCCATGACTTGCTGTTAAGTGCAATAATGTATAACCTATTTTACTTTATTTTATAATTAATGATAAAAAGGTATTTCCTTTATGTTAGTTTTTAATGTTGAATGTATATTAATATAATTTTATGTTTTATGTTAAATATTCTATGTAATTCTAATGTTAAATATTCTAATATTCTGTTAAATTAACGTATTTAATATATTTAGTATATTAATTCAATTAATGTCAGTAATTTGTATTAATAAAACAATTTAAAAATGTTTGTTGCAAATTATAAATAAATTTATAAAATGAAACTATGTTCATATTTATTTATTACAAAAAATCTTGTTTTTCTTTGTTCTACTTTTATTCTTTTGCATATATGCTCTTCTATCTTAAATTCTCACTGCAGTTTACTAGATGTAATGGTTTACATTTTCGAAAATTTTCAACATTAATATTAAATCAATAAATTTTTTAATAATATAATAGATTTAATAATTTAACAATATAAATAATAAATGATATGGTAAATAATTTCTATACTGTTATTGATATTATCAGCATATGCAACAAATGAGTTAAATAAATAAAAAAACTTTCGGAGCAAATAATTCAAAAGTATATGTAAAATTAAGTTAATATTTTAAATATTAATATCTAGAATTATCTTCATTATGCAACGGACTTGAATGCACGAATATTGGACAATTTTAAATGCTTCCCATTTAAAAACTACTATATCCTTAACATTTTGATATTAGAATTTTCGTTTCAAAGTAATTTCAAAAAATAATACTAGCAGATTAGCAGGTGATAGATCTAGAATACTGTATAATTATTCATATAATTCAGAAATTTGTTATTAACCTGTTGATGTATTGCAGATGATTTCTTACCGGATAATTTATGTATTTTGAAAAGAAAATATTCTTTCTTTCAGGATAAAATAAGGCGAGTTTTTTAATTCATCGATTAATAAATCGCATTATGCGCAAATGTAACTTTGCTCTATAAAACAGTAAATGCAGTATTTGTGTATTATGCAATTAATTAATTGATGAATTAAAAAACTCGTCTATAGTCTGAAATATAAGAATTTATTATGAGTACCAACCTTAATCTTGAAAGCGCAACAACGACTGAGTTCCGATATTCATTGTCAATACTGAAAATCTATAATATATGTGACATGAACTATATATTTTCAGTGCTGATAGTGAATATCGAGTGTAGCAATGTACATATATCGTGTACACTAAAAGTGCTTTCCATTTAATGAAGCAAAATTGACACAATCGTTCTATCTTTCTTGCCTTTCAATGAATAATAAGAAAGAAATGATACTTGTATCGATTTGTGTGATTATTGAATGGAAAACACCTTAATTCAGGTACAAGGAACAGACCTCATGATCAGGAACACCCAATCATGACTATTGTACGGTTGGCAATGCTGAATGCAGCCGACAACGACGATTCAACTTCATTCAGTGTATATCTTAAAACTTAACCTAAATTGTTTGTAATCTTCGAATTTTACATAAAATTCTCTATTCATATAGAATTTTAAAGCCTAATCGCGGACAGAGAGAGAGAGAGAGAGAGAGTTAAAGTAGCAAGATGTCGGAACGAAAAGTTTTAAACGTAAGTATAAAAAATATTACTTTTTGCGATGAGTCCACATCGTCGACATTTTCACGTGTCTTGATAACTCTCCTTCATCTTTTTATATATACTAGAAATACTATCCGCCGGATTTCGACCCTTCGAAAATCCCGCGTATGAAATTGGCGAGAAATCGTCAGTACACTGTGCGGTTGATGGCACCGTTCAACATGCGATGCAAGACATGCGGTGAATATATCTACAAGGGCAAGAAATTTAATGCGCGTAAGGAGGATGTCGAAGGCGACGATTACCTGGGCATACGCATTTACAGGTTCTACATTAAGTGTACCCGTTGCCTGCAAGAGATATCCTTTAAGACTGATCCAAAGAACACGGATTATGAGATAGAGGCAGGTGCCACGAGAAATTTTATGGCATTGAAACTTGCCGAGGAACAGGCGCAAAGGGAAGAGGACGAGGAGAAAGAAGAAGAGGCCACCAATCCGATGAAGCTCTTGGAAAAGAGAACACTTCAATCAAAGCAAGAACTGGAATTGTTAGAGTCTTTAGAAGAGTTAAAGGATTTAAACCGAAGACAGCAGACTATAGATTATGATCAAATGTTAGAACAATATGATACTGAAGCTGCTAGGCAGAGGACAGAAAAGGAACAAGAAGAATTAGATGAACAATATATTAAGTCTGTATTTGGCAAAAGACAATTAGTTGGGACTGTTGTGGAAGAAGAAATTGAAGAGTTGGAAAATGAGGAAGAAGAAAGCATTCAACCTCCTACAAAAATATTTAAAACAGACGAAGCAAATGGCAAAGAAACAGTAAGATTTTAATTTTATATTTAATGTGATTTATTTATTTTTTAATACAAGAAAATTAGATTAGAAAACTAATTATAACTGGTTATTTGCAGGAAAATTTCATACAGTCCTCAAAATCTATTAAAGCATCATTGTGGTCAGAAAATACAGGATTATCTAATAAAAAGAATTCATCTACTTTAATCAAGAAAAGTAATATTGGTATAAAGATAAATGCAAGATCGTCACAGAATAAAACATCGATCGAAAATGTTTCTTCAGATAAGGAAACAGTTTCACAGTTGGAAGAAATACCTAATATTTCATCAAGTACATCAAATGCAACAAATACCAACACTAAGATGGATTATGTAGGAAATGGTCTCTCATTATTAGGTGCCTATTCGGATAGCAGCGATAATGACAATGATTAAAGCAAGAAATAAATTAATATATTTATATATTAATATATATATTAATATATTTTTCATGTATATATTTTTAGTTCACAATAGAATAAATATTGTTATATAAATAAACGGAGCTACAAAGTGCGTTTGTATAAATATGTTATTTGTCTCAAAATATATGTGATGTATCACATGAAATTTTTAATTTTACATATTATTTTAGATATTTATACACACGAATTAGACATTAGACATACACGTGTAATTTCTTGGTATCCAATATATGAATCGCCGGTTGATATTTATAAGTTGTGCTGACGATTACAGAATTTCTTACAGGATGCCGAAAGCTCTACTCCTAAAACATAAAAGGATAAGTTATCAAAAATATAAAAGATTAAAAATCGATTTGTTTGCAAGGCTAGGCACTGTAAAAAACTCTGTCATCGAGTTATACCGATATCAATATATGTAGCAGGAAGTACCTAGCCTATCAAAGCATGACCGTAATTAACATACTTGAGACGAGAATACAAATCCTAAGAATTTAAAAAATTTTATCATGAAAAAGTATAAAAATAGTTGTCTCAAATATATTAATAATGTCTATTTATATCTGTACTGACAACGATTAATTTATTAAGAATAATGGGTGTAAATACTGATGTAAATTATGATGTGAATTAATAAAAAATTATTAAAGTTGATTTTATAATTCTGAAGAATATAGTATTTCACGAAACATGTTTCATATTTCGAAATCATATTATCACATAATCTTTCAAAGATACTTCAATATAAAATTGTTACTCAAGATGAAGTGATCAATTTACAATATAAATATAATAAAGTTTATCTGTAATATATAATATAGATGTAGATAAGAAATATTGATATTATATAGTGCGATTAATCGGATTGCATTGTCGAAGAGAGGCATGATGAAGAGATCGTCTTGGCAAACGACCGCGGTATCGATAATAATATTGGTCAGGTCGACGACATGATTCTCTGACACATTTCTTTGCATTACCCTGAATTATAATAGGATTAACAATGTCAAAAAAGCAATTTGCATTTTCTTCGGACGAGATGGACTCGTTGGAATGAAATTTATTTAAATAATTCGTTGGTTCGCCAAAGGCTTCCAGAACCGAAGGATCCATCAGCCAACCGTAAAGAGATCTTTGAATGGGTGCGTGATGGTCTCCAACGTGACGAATTACGTCACCCCTGTATTTTTCATTAACTTCCCGTTGACATTGCTCGCAAATAAATGTCTCTTCTTTATTGGAAGAAACGCGATACCAATCGTTAAGATGAAATTCTCTCGGCGGAAAATTCGAATTCTTCGTGGGTGGAACGTGATGAGAAAAGTATCGATACCGCGGGGATCTTGATCTTTTGCACGAATGCGGATAATCAAGATGGAATCTTGGCGCGGATGTTTCCAATAACACTTGTCTCGATTCGCAAGAATAAACGCGTGATAATCCATCGCTCGATCGAGGCTTACGCAAGTACTTCCTGGCAACGTACCGGGTGTTATCGTTTTTGTTCTTTTCTCGCAAGCTCACTTCCAATTGCGCGATACGATGCTCGAGCCGCGTGCGTTGCGCCTGTGCGCGATCCTGCTGATCTTCCAATAGCTTCACCAGCTTCTCTAATCGCATCACCTGCATCTGCTTGCCCTCAAGCGTGGCATACAATTCCTGAATCGCCTCTGTCTTCGCCACGATTTGTTTGTTGATCTAGACATACAATCATTATTAGAGAATAAAATCTTAAGTAACATAATCTATATGACGAAATCGACATAAATCAGAAGACACATTGGATATATTATTACTTTCTTCTATACATCTATACATCTATACATTCTTCATTCAGCTTCTGAATGAAGAATGAAAAAGATTAAAAGGATCAGAAAGAAGATAGAAAATGCTGAATATGATAGTATCTTGTATTACTTCATCGATATCTTCGTAATTATCATTAGTGGGATTCGTCGCGTTTGTCTGCTTCCCTTTGAGGAGGCTCAGTAACTCGTCTCGAACTTTAAGGAATTTGCTCTGCTCGCGCATCACCCGATCGCGCTGTTCTAATTCCAGCTGCTTTTGCGTCAGGGTAGTCTCCAATTCTTGGTTTTGCTGTACAGCTTCGACCAAACTGTTCCGCAAATCACTGATCTGTTGCTGAAGCTCTATTGTATCGAGTCCTTGAGTCTTGCCGGTCTCTTTCGCTCTCGCTTGAAGACGATGCTGGATCTTCGATAACTGATTCTCTAGCACTTCATTCCTCTCTTGTCTGCGGAATAAAAATTAAGAGTTTGGACTCAAAACTAATTGGCAAAAATTTAAATTTTAAATGTATCTTTGATCCAAAAATCGTTAGAATTGTAGAATTGTAGAATTCTTATAATGTAAAGACAATATTATTATATATAGATACACACACACACACACACATATATAAATATAAATCTATATAATATATACATAATATAGATATATAATATAAATAGATTTTATATTATATAGATCTATATTATTTAAAACAAAAAGAATTATTTAAATTATTAATAGAGTGTATATAAATTTGCTGCAAAATCTTTTAAAGTGGAAACAATTTTTTATCGCGTTTTTAGCAACAATTTTGAAGATGTCCAAGCATTTGATTACACAAATATCAATTCAAGCGAATATTGGCGGGATAATATTCTAACTTGACACTAAAAGCTTACGTAAATCTCGTAATCTTTTGGAGTCGAGCGTTCTCTAGCATCAGATTCTGGAGGTCATTAGTCTTGGCTACGAGTTCGGCGGCGAGCCTATCCTTCGTCTCATCTTCATTGTCACGGCTCTGCGAGCGGAATGAAAAAGATGAATAATTGAAACTAATTTTGAGGACGATTTATCGGAGACGAAAATCACGGTCTAACAAGCGAGAGGAAGTGAATGATTCTTAGTTCTTATACGAGCAGAGGTTCCGAAAGTAGTGCAAACTAACGGCTGCCTGGTGCATCACGGCGACAATCTCTTGCTTTTCCCTTTCGAGTTGCTCGGCCTTCTCCTTCTGTTTCTCTAGCTCGGCTCGGACCGCCATCAAGTCGTTATACAAGCAGATTTCATTTTCCGTGTGAGCGTTATCTAAAGGCCGATAATCGGAATGGAAGCTTTCAACGAACAAATATACGACACTTTTGTGTCGACGTTTCATTCATCAGGAATTGTAAATGAGAAGTTTTCTCGATACTTTGAAATTATTGAGCTTACCTACCTGTCACAGCTATATTATTGCTTTTCTCACTCGCGAGGTCGCAGAGCAGCTGGCTTTTCTCCTCGAGATGTTTGCAACGTTCCTCCATCTCAGATAAGGCACTTTCAGCTTGTTCTCTATAATGAATTTAATAGAACTCAATAGAATTATATGAATATAATAAAATTCTTAAAAAAAAATGTATGCAAATTTTAATTCAGAAAGAAAATAATGTGAAGAATATATCTTTTTCATTATTTATACGTTATTATCTATATTTGGAGAAAATATTATAATAACATAATGATATGATAATTATGATAATTATGAAAATTATGATAATTATGCAATTATTTTTCTTCAAAGCTAGCATTAAAAATTAATGATATGCGGTTGTTAAAAATGGAACTACAATTAAAATAAAATATTACCTCTTTTCTCTCTCTTTAATAATCTGTACGTCAATCGTTTCAAATTTTGCCGATAACTCCTTAATAGTTTCACTCGCTTCGGCTTCTTTGCGAGCCATCTTTTCTTTGAGCTCCAGCATCCTAAAGCAGGCAACTTTAAGAAAATATAGAACAGAAGAGATCGATCTTGCCCTTATTCAAACAACTTTACTTATAAAACTAAAGGTATTTCTTTTTAATTTTTTAAATAAAAATCTGATTTTATTAAAAACAAAACATCCTTATAGCCTCATTTATTCATGACTTAGAATTAAACTTTTATATTTCTTAAAGATCGAGAGTAAAAGCGGGGGCCGAGAATTCGGCGGGATTAAAAGGACAACCGTGATTCGAAGCTGTCACGTTGCTTCTCCATTTTCGCCATGAGGCTCTCGCTGCTCTTCATCGCCTTGTGCATATCTTTCATTCTCAGCTCCATCGTCTGATCCTTCTGCTTCAATTGGGCCTCCAACGACTTGACGCTGTTCTGCAGCTGTTGCGACTTCTCCTCCTCGTTAGCCACGTGCCCCTCCAGCTCGTGAATCTTCGCCCGCGCTTTTTGCATCTGCAGCTCCATCATTCTCGTCCTCTCCTTCCCTTGATTCGCCTTGTCACGCTCCGCTTTGAGTTCCTCCCGAGCGACACTCAGCTGTTCCTGCAACAGGTCCCCGCGATCGGCATTCGGCCGCTCCTCCTTCACGCGCCCGCAATAATCGTCGTATTCGCTACGCAGGCTCGAGGATCTCTTCGCGAACTCGGCGACGAAGTCCTTCTGGGCCGTCCTCAGTTCTTCCAGTTGCGCTTTCATCTCCTCATTGTCTCGCGTGAAATTCGCCTGCTGCGCCTCCATCTCCGAATAATCCACCAGGATCAACATGTTGTCCGTCTCGTCCTGCCGGCTCGATTCTGTCAGCCAGGACTTGATGAGGGACGCGAACGACGAACTCCTGTCCAGGGCGCGCTGACAGATCTCTTGAGAACGGTCGCAGAGATCCTGCAGCTGATTTTGCAACAGCAACACACCGATTACCGCCGACTCGTCCATGCAGATCGGCCGCTCGGCGCAGTCGTGCCGCGAGCCCGTCTCGATCGGCGTCGGCGGGCTTTGTTTAGGACACTCCACTTAAGGCGATCTCAACTCCTCGATCTTGCCCGGGTCCTTGCCGCCGACCGCGATTATCTTCTCTCGCAGACTCGACATCTCGTCGTACAGATCTCGTGCAATTTTCTGGAGACGCGCAACAGAGAAGAACGTCGTTTAATATCTTAAAGTTTAAATGAGAGTTACAAAAAGACAGCGCGATAATTTATGCGCATACAAGATTGTTTAAAAAAAAAATAAATAAATATATATATATATATATATATACATGCTATTTAATAAATTTATAAAATTTAGAAATTAGAGGAAAGTAACATTAATTATCGCGCCCTTTTTTATATTCTCTTTGGCTCTTCATTTGACAGTCTTTGTATATTATTATTATTTCATCTATTCTTTTTTATATTTCATCTCGACTATCATTTAGATCTCTGACCTGATTTCGAAGAGGATCTTCAAAAATTCCTAAACTATCTACAATCGCGTAATTGTGTATGAGAACTCGTCTTTAGGAAAAGTTCATGTCGCTCGACAATTACTTGTTTATCGAAGAGCGTCTTTTTCAGATTCGTATATCGTATCCTTTTCGAGCTATATTGTATCTCGAGCTGACGCCTCTCCGCGGGGATTATATTTGTCGGCTTTCTATTAGACATGTTCAAAGTCTTCATACTCGGTCGACGAGCGGAGTTGTTATTAGAGTTAATCCCGCTGGAAATCTCTTCGTACATAGGATGACTCACTGAATCGCCCTATAAAGAGATTATGAGTCACTTTTGATGAGCGATGAACAAATATCAAATATATTTTGTAAATTATTATAAATAATTGCTTTAAATCAAGCTTAATTATTGCGAATATTGATATGATAGAAGATGGAAGAAAAATCGCTGGACATGTAATCTATTTGTATTATAATTGTATTATAACCAAAACTATTTGGCAACATATTATGTCAAATAATTAACGTACTTGCATGGCATTCCGTCCAAAATGAGTTGTTGGAATTTTACTCTTGATTTTATTTCCAGTACTTGTCATAGATTTCTTCGAGCTATTTGATGACGGACGATCTTCCGTTTTTGCTATAAGGATGAAAATATAAGCAAATGTGCAGTTTTCTTCATTAAAGCAATTACAAATAATAATACAATAAATATGTGTGCGATTTGTTCTTTTAAGTGTATTTTAAATACCTTTAATTTTTATTTTTTTTATATATATTTATCTTTCTTTTGAAGCGTAAGAAAATGCATATAAAAGGAATGTATTCATAAATATAATGTGAAAGATAATATATTATACTTTGACAATTAGTATCACTTTAATATAACCTCTATATAATATAATTATTTTTTATATTAAAGTATTTTAAAATGAAATTATTTTTCATTGAAATTGATATTTATTAACACAATAGATTTTTCAAAATAGATTGCTCAATCGTAATTATTTTATAATATATCATTATAATATATCATTCCAAAAAATAATAAAAATAAAAAGATCATTGATTATTAAAGATTTTTTTAAAACTTCTTGTCGTAATAATCACAGAAAGTAAACGCAAGAATGAAAAAGCAGCTTTTGAATTTGCAGAACAGTATTTCTACCGGCGTTATAGGGTTAAATATTACAATTTTTCTATTTTACGTCACAGTTTGCGAATATGAAATGACAAAAATGCAAAGACTGCAGTTTCATGTTTTTATATCACGAGTTTTGATGTAAAACAACCTGGAGGATTTATCTCGACCGCTTCGCTCAGCATTATTTCGACTTCTTTTCACGGTAATGTAGCTCGATCGGTGACAGTTGGATTTGCGAATGAATCTGAGGGAGATTTCGAGGGAGATGAGAATAGTTTTAATTTCGTAATCTTGTTGGTTGGATAGCAAAACGACCGTGCATTAACATTGATTCGCGCGAGACAGTCGACGACTTTGTACTGTTTCGAAATCGCGATTAATTTTATGTGCGATGATAATACATTTCGATAATAAAACATGTAAGGCGAATTTTTTAATTCATCGATTAATAAATCGCATAATGCGCAAATGTAATTTTGTTCTAAAAACAGCTTTTGCGCACTATGCGATTAATCAATCGATGAATTAAAAGACTCGTCTATAACTATGATAAAATTGATCAAAAACTCCTTTAAAAATTACATGTTATTTATTTTAATAATTAAATTTATAAGATTTTCTATAATAAATTTTTTTTAAACTAAAGGTATTTTACAAAACATTTGAAATGACGGATAATTTCATATATTAAAAAAATCTGGTTAAATAAAAAATAGTCTAGTTTAAAATTGATTTAAAAATTAGTTTTAAAATAGTAACAAAAAATAAAATAATTTAATTTTTTAAGTGGTAATTTAAAATTTATGTAAACGAAAAAGGAGTAATTTTTTTTATTATTAGCATAAATATTATAAATATTATATATAAATAATTGTAAATATTTGTTAAAAAGTAAATTATCAACAATGAATGGATGCGATATATGCATGTTTTCATTAAGTATTTCATTAAGTATTTATCGCAGCTTCCTGGAAACCGTACATTCGTAAAGCCGGCTGAATTATGACAGACAAGCGGCGCCATTCTAATTACCAAAAACTGAGACATTTTAAGAGTTTCGTCATACTCGAACAAATAAAGCAATTCAGTGATAACAAGGTCAAGTTAATTATTCGGCTTAATTTGGTCGACTTTTTTATGTGTGGATTCGCGGTGGATTAATTGTTGGTATACTCTTTAAGAACGTCACTAAATTGTGATTCGTTTCATAATATGATGTAATTGATATCTTTACTAGCAGTCGTCGCATGTTGGGAAGTTTATTGAAAGAAAGAGATTGAGAACTTCGAGAAATGAAAACTAAGAAAAGTGTAAGCTATTGCATTTAAAAATAAAGTATGGCTTTTGATCAAACAAGAAATGATTGCGAACAACCAACAGATACAACAGAACCAGAACAGAACAGAAATTGCAAACAAATCCATACTGCGATATTTTATTCACTAAACATTGCGAAACTTCATTTCTACAAACAAACTCTGTTTTCTTTCACTCGCAAGACGGAAACTTACAAGAATGTTTGAAATTGAGAACTCTAAAATTACAATTACGATAGCCGCACGGCCATAGCAATGTTATCTTAAATATATATATATATATATATATATATATATATATATATATATATATATAA